AATATTTTCTCCAGATTTGGTACACCAAGGGCTATTATTAGCGATGGAGGTTCTCACTTTTGTAATAAGTTGTTCATGGTACTACTTGAAAAATATGTTGTCCGTCACAATGTAGCCACTCCTTACCATCCACAGACTAGCGGTCAAGTTGAAGTATCCAACAGAGAGATCAAACAGATATTGGCAAAGACTGTGAATGCTAATAGAACGGATTGGTCAAGGAAGCTTGATGATACTCTATGGGCCTATCGCACTGCATACAAGACCCCATATGTATGTCTCCTTACCAACTTGTATATGGGAAGTCTTGTCTTTTACAGGTAGAGCTAGAGCATAGGGCGGTGTGGGCAATGAAGAAGCTAAATTTGGATTGGGGGCGCCGCATCGAATCAAAGAATGAATGACTTGACTATGCTTGATGAGTTTCGCCTTGAAAAGCTTATGAAAGTTCAGCCTTCTACAAAGAGAAGATGAAACGGTATCATGATCAAAGAATTGAAAAGCGAGAATTTGTGGTTGGTGATCTTGTGCTTCTATTCAACTCTAGGTTGCGTTTGTTTCCGGGCAAACTCAAGTCCAAATGGACTGGGCCATTTTTGCTCACAAAAGTGCTCCCCCATAGAGCGGTTGAGTTTGAAATAGTAAAGGAACAGGGTTCATGGTAAACGGGCAAAGGATCAAGATCCATCTGGGAAATGTTGAAAGTGTGCAAGAAGTGATTTAGTCCTACAATCTTGATGAAGTCTGAGTAATCAAGAAACCTCCGTCGTGCAGCGACGTTATGTGCAAGAAGTGATTGAGGCCTACAATCTTGATGAAGTCTGAGTAATCAAGGGACCTGCATCGTTCCGCGACGTTAAATCAAGCGCTGCTTGGGAGGCAACCCAAGATGTACAATCTAGCCAACGATAGGTTTCGATTTCCCATTTAGTAGTTTTCTTTGTTTAATTGCGTCTCTGTATCAATTTAGATAGGTGTTTTAGTTTTTTTAGTGTTGGCTAGAATTAGCATAGGGTCCGTGTCTAAAAAGTGTCCAGAAAATGTAAAAAGAATAGCCTAATGGTTGCTACATGTGCAGGTACGCTGTGAAAACTCTGCAGAAAATGGTCTGGTGCAGAGGTCTATGGACCCCATCGACGGTCCGTCATTCTATCCACGGACCGTGGATGGTGTCTGTAGATCACAGGTAAGTTCCTAAATTTTTCCAAGTGTAAGAGTGATCTACGGTCCCAACCTACGGACAGTAGATCGACCCACGGATCGTAGACGAGGTCTCATGGATCCAAAACCCTAAATCTGTCTGACCCGACCCGGACCCCCATATTTAAAACTCCCCTAATTTCAAATAATTTCCACTTCCCTCCATTCACTCTCCACTATAAGAAAAAGCTTTATTTAAGACCAATATTTAGGGACGAGTTAATAAACCCATCTTTAAAGGTGCATGTATTGGGACGAGATTTTAATCCGGTCTTTAATTTCTTGTGTTATTGTGAAGGTACTAAATATGGTCTCTAGAGAAAGTTTAAACTGGTCCCAATTTAAAATTTAGGGGTCTTGAGATATTTACAAAGGCGGGAAAGTACTGAAATATAATAAAAAAATCTATTTTCACCAAAACTAGGCGCCAAAATGTCCATTACCGATTAAAATTCTAAAAGGAAAACATAAAATAAAATACACTATGTTTCTCAAAACTTATCGTGAAATAGAACAACCCTAGCAGCGATTTTTCCTAACAACGATCTTCACAATACAGCGATCTAAGAGCAGCTCTCAACTGAAAATATTTGTTTTCTCAAAATAGAGAAAGCACAGGTCTTCCTAGAAGCAGACGCAACAGCTTGGTTTCAGTGCTTCATCTGTGTTTTTTCAGAACAAAGAAAGCACAGGTCTTTCAAGCACCGATCTCAACTCAATCTCTATCTTCTATTCACTCGAATCTCAGGTATTACTCCACTTCTGCCAGTTAATTTGTTTCTTTCTATTTAGCTGATTTGTTGTTTGTTTTGTTCGAGTCATAACTCTTCTTGTTTAAGTTACTTTTGTTCGTTCACACTAGCTGCTGATCATTATTTGTAAAAAAGATTAAGTTTTATAGTGTGTTATCCTTAAAGAACTAAGTGTTCCTAAAGGTTTAGAACAGTGAACTAAACTTGAAAAGAGGCACTAACAAGTAGACGAGCTAAAACAATATCAATATCGAGAGACTTGTGTTCAAGTTGAGAAATCCATTATGAATTACAAGTGAAGTGTTGTTGAGCTTTTAAGCCTAACAGAGCAAGTGAGAAAGCTGATTATTGTATGTTACTACTGGAAAAGAGAAAAAATGATAGTTTTGTTTGATTCTAAAACTAATAAAGATGTAAGCTGATTGCTGTATGTTTCAAGAAGAGACATTCTAACACTTTTTTAAAACATTAATCCTTTTTTTTTTCTAACTGGTTATCTTATTTTTGTATATTTGTATCTCAGTTATTTATCGTCTTTTGCGAGTTGTTTTTTTCTTCTCTAAATCTAAGAGTAGCTCTCAACTGAAAATCATTGTTTTCTCAAAATAGAGAAAGCACAGGTCTGCCTAGTAGCAGACGCAACAACTTCATTTCAGTGTTTCATTTGTGTTTTTATTCAGAACAAAGAAAGCACAGGTCTGCCAAGCACCGATCTCAACAAAATCTTTATCTTATATTCACTTGAATCTCAAGTATTACTCCACTTCTGCCAGTTAATTTGTTTCTTTCTATAAAGACGATTTGTTGTTTGTTTTGTTCGAGTTATAACTTTTCTTGTTTAAGTTGCTTTTGTTCGCTCACACTAGTTGCTGATTATTATTTGTAAAAAAGATTCAGTTTTATAGTGTGTTATGATCCCAAAAATGAAGGGGATCTATCCTTAAAGAACTAAGTGTTCCTACAGGTTTAGAACAATGAACTAAATTTGAAAAGAGGCACTAACAACTAGACGAGCTAAAACAATAACAATATCGAGAGAGTTGTGTTCAAGTTGAGAAATTCATTATGAATTACAAGTGAATGGTTGCTAAGCTTTTAAGCCTAACAAAGCAAGTGAGAAAGCTGATTGTTGTATGTTACTACTGAAAATGAAAAATGATAGTTTTGTTTGATTCTGAAACAATAGTTCACTTGGAAAACTGAGAAATGACATTTCCTAAAGAAACAGATCACTGAACTACTGTTTTCTAAATTAAAAGTGAACTATTTTTTACCTATTAAAGATAATTTTTATTAAAACTGATCCAAATGCGTAGTTACCTGCCACTATTTCCTTAATGTACTAGTTATAGAATCACATGTTGTGCGCATATTACGCTTTTTCTTATTGTTCATATTTTCTTAATCTTTTTAATGTATTTTCCAAGGTTATGGCACCTTGTAAGCAATGGATGCAACTTTCACTTGATAATCGGGTCAACCAAGCCTATTTAAATGGTGTGCAAAAGTTTTTGGATTATGTTTTTCAGAGATCAGGAAAAGAGACTGAAATATGATGTCCATGTTACAAATGTTGTAATACAACATTAGGAACTCGTGAGACGATTGATACACACTTGAAAGTATATGGAATAATTCAAAATTATAATTTCTGGTATCACCACGGAGAACATTTAGGTGAGCTAGTGTCAAACTCTGACGATGAAAATGATGATGAAGTAGAAGGTTATGAGAGTGAAGATGAAGTACATGAATTGTTGAAAAATTTATTTCCTAATGTTAATGAAGCAGCTACCCACGCTGGTTATGAAGATGTAGTTGAGGAGGAGCCAAATGTTGAAGCTAAAAGATTTTACAACCTATTGAAGGATTTGGAGCAGCCATTATAACAAAATTCAAAGGCTTCAAAGCTTTCATCTTTGATTAAATTGCTTCACATCAAAAGTATGGGTCGTTGGAGTAATGAGTCATTTACCATGTTATTAAAAATGTTAAAAGAGGAGTTACTACCTAATGGGGCTGATTTGCCAAATTCATATTATGAGGCAAAGAAGATTATTCGAGATCTTGGGCTTTCTTACAACAAAATTGATGCTTGTACTAATGATTGCATGTTATATTGGAAGGATGATATCTTACTTGATTCTTGCAAAATTTGTGGTGCGTCCAGATGGAAAGTGAATAAACATACCGGGGAAACAAGGAATAAAAAAGGTAAAAAGATAGCCTCAAAGAGTTTGCGTAAGCCGAACAGAATACGGACTTGCTTGCTCTATTTGATTCAAGACCTCTTGCTGTTGCGTCTCTATTTTCCATTAAAGGCTAGGCTTCAAAGGTTGTTTATGTCTACAAAGACATCTTCTCTAATGACATGGCATAAGGATGAAAGAATTAATGATGGAATAATGAGGCACCCAGCTGATTCAATGGCATGGAAGTCATTCGATGAACTTCATCCTTCTTTTGCAATTGAGCCCCGTAATGTTCAACTTGGACTTGCTAGTGATGGATTTCAGCCATTTCGCAATTCAAAAAGCTCACATAGCATTTGGCCTGTGGTTCTTATTCCTTATAATTTACCACCTTGGTTGTGTATGAAACAGGAAAATTTTATCTTGTCAATGCTTATTCCTGGTCCAAATGGTCCTGGAGATGCAATTGATACATATCTTCAACCTCTAATAGAGGAATTGAAGGAGTTGTGGGAAGTTGGTATTGAGACCTTTGATGCATCAACTAAACAAAATTTTAAGTTGCATGCTTCTTTGTTATGGACTATCAATGCCTTTCCAGCATATGGAAATATATCTGGATGGAGTACAAAAGGAAAATTGGCATGTCCATCTTGTAATAAAGACACTTCCTCAATTCGATTGACTAATTGTAAGAAACAGTGCTTTATGGGTCATCGACGTTACCTTCCCAAGGATCACAGATGGAGGAATGACAAGAAGTCATTTGATGATACAATAGAGAAAAGGCTCCCACCGAAAACATGTTCTGGAATTGATATACTTAATCAAGTGCAAGATCTTGAAGGGGAACCATTAACAAAGGATCCAAAGAAAAAGAGGAAGATATCACATGAAAAACGAAATGATAATTGGAACAAGAAAAGTATCTTTTTGGAACTTCCATATTGGAAATCTCTCTTGTTGCGACATAATTTGGATGTCATGCATATTGAGAAAAATATATGCGATAATATTATGGGGACAATCATGAATGTCAAAGGAAAGACAAAGGACACAATTAACACTCGGTTAGACTTGAAGGAAATGAACATTAGGCCAGAATTGCACCCTATCCAAAGAGGGGAGAAAGTTGAAGTTCCAACTGCATGCTACACATTGTCGCCTGAAGATAAACACAAGTTATGTCTTTTCTTGAAGAATTTAAAGGTCCCTGATGGGTTTTCATCTAATATTTCTCAATGTGTAAACTT